GAGTTGATAATATGATGAAGAAAACTCTCAGGCTTGCATCTTATGTAGGAATTAGCTTACCAGGCCACTCTTGTAATTCAGTCATATTGCCCACAGAATCGCGATTGGTAGCAACAAATAGGCACCCTGGATTCTCACGTATGCAAAGGGTTCCGTACCTGCAAGTTGAGATCTTGATAAGGAAACAAAATAATGGCAAGCATGCAGTTTGATAATGACTCCAAATGATTGATTTTGGTTTCTTACTGAAGTTTGTAATAATTAATATTTGGGTCTAGTCCAACCACAACTGCTCCAACCTGGAGAAAGGCGGTACTTTGACATAAATATCAAGCACAGAAGAATAAGTTAAAAATCTTCTAAAGGTTGCATGTAGATGTTACATTACATTTTTATCATATTCAAAGAAGAAATTTGATGTCAGCTGCACCCGTTTCTCAGCATCTTCCTGCCATAAATAATTCCTATTAGTTTTGCTCAAAGCAGCAGGTTGTTGCCAATACGGGATGAGGAAGAAAGAAAAGGGAAAAAAAGCATAAAAACCCATTTCTTCACAATAAAAATACTGGTAAGAACCAGAAAAAGAAAATGAACAAATTATTGGAAAAGGGCAGGATGGTCATACTTTACTTTCTAATCCCAGGGTTCAATTTGAAAATTAACCCTTAAAACTCTAGCATGTAACTTGGGATATGCACAATTGTCGTTATTCATTAAAATACTATTCTTCAATACCACTACACTTTGTTAACCATTCAAGGATGTATGCACTGTTGGAGAGATAAAATCCATAACTTTGTTTGATCGGGACAAATTTTGATAATTGGAGATCAGTTCAAAATTGAAAAGGAAGAGAACAGGGATTTTTCTTCAGCTTTTGGCTGAATAATTTTATCTTTGGAACATACCTCAGATCAAGAGAATGAACCTTGGCCTTTTAACTGAATGAAAGCTTTGTATAAATATAAAAAAGAATTGAAGTCTAAAATCATCAACTGAAGGGGACAAGAACCACATTAACCAAGATGGACAGCAAGGTTGGTTTCTTAACTGTTAAAGCCCTAAGTGGAGCAAAAAGACCAGAAGAAAACCATGAAACACGAAATGAATTTCTGCTGTATTTGATGTGCAAAGGAAAAGAGAAACATAGGATTGCCAGGCCAAAGCGAGCTTTCTTACTGGTTCCATTAGATGCAATTTCCTATAATAGCAAATCCAACCGTGCAAAATGCATCAATAAGCTACTCTTTTTTTTTTTTGGGCTTTGCTTCCGCGGGGCATGTGATATTTGAACACTCACCATCCCATTAAAGTGGGAGGGAAATAATTGCAGGACTGAGTCATAGTGGTTAAGTAAAATAAGCTACTCTCTCATTCTTAATACAATTGGACTTACTGGGCCACCAAGACCGGTAAATCCAGCAAGGCGGAGCTCCTCCAATATTCCTTCTCCGCCTATAACATACACCTGTGGAAGAATAGATTAGCTGCAATACTTTAAAGAGTTATCATGCCACAAATGGCATAATACAAATTTTTCTAAAGCAATTTGAATCTTAAGATCTGAATAACCATTGACAGTCAAATCTTCAACCATTTCGTTTAGTTGATTTGGAGAAGTATGTCACAAATTAACTGAATTGAACTGCCCTCATAAATTTCAATTAACACATCAAAAGCAGCTTAGAGCAAACAATAGAGACTGTTTTTGGGAAACTTAAAATTAAAGGATCAGGTGATCAAGTCTCAGACTTATAGCTTGAACATGACTACCGGAGTCTGTACTCCAGCATTTTGTTATTAAGTTTGCAGGCTTCAACGCACAAAGAAAAGGTTAAAAGAAAATATTTGGGAAATCGGTGAAATAAAATACTGCATCAGACTATTCATCTAACCAACGGCAGAAAAATAATCAAGGAAATATAGACAAGCAGAGAAGACAGCAGTGAGTACAATATTATCTTTGATTTGCTAGAAGGATGAGTGACAAACCTTCTTGTCGTTAGGAAAATTATTGACCTTGAGATACATTGCAGCTGCAAATGATGAAGAGAATATCTCATCCTATAAACGTTTAACCAGACAACCATATAATTAGCTTCAAATGTGCTACAACCAGAATTCAAATTCTAGCAAATAGAAAAGTTTCAATTGGGAAAAGATTGAATCTCAGTACCTCAGTAACTGAAGAAACACCAAGAGACTGTAGTTTTTTACTGTATTGACTCCTTGATTTCGTCGAGTTATTGGTCACAAAGACTATCTTCTTCCCCTGATTCCAAACAACAAAATGAAAAAACACAAGCAAGCATTGTTACTCAGATTATACACACATACACATATGGATACATACATATAATAAAATCTAAGAAAAGAAGGAAATGAGAAAACAGAAAAGGAACTATAACCAATGAAGCACCTTTGAGCGAAGCATGTCTATGGTCTGAGCGACGCCATCAATGAGCTTATCGCCCTTCCAAATGACACCTGATCAATAATTACAATTTAATGAATATTAGCGAATCTAATCACGATTTAATCCATTTCAAAGACAGAGAAAATGTTACAGAAGTTCGTACCATCACAATCAAATAGGAAAGCCTCGACGGAATCGAAGAGCGATCTCACATTGTTGCGAGACAGAAGCTGCGAAACTCTCCTTGCGCCGTTCATCATCCTCCGTTTTACTCATACAATTGACCAACGTGCGAAAATAAAAAGCTATATGAATCTGGAATCGTATTCCTTTCTTTTTGTCGTTTTCTTTTTTTATATTCGCATATGTTTCACACCCAACCATTGAAGTAGGTTTTTGCAGCAGCCCAGAGTCGTCTGGCCGACACTCGTGGACGTGGTTTGGTAGGTAGATGAAGATCGAAACGTCGTCGTTTGGCTGACATCGGTTACGAAAGTTTTGTAGGGTCCAAAAGTGTTTCCTGATTTTGCCAGGTCAGCTATAAAGTAGGATCTAATGTCTTTAATTATTTTCTTTTTCTCCACGCGAACAATAACTTATAATATAAATTTAAATAATATTGAAATGGAATAATTTTGTGTTTAATTGAATTTATGTTTTAAAGTAATAAAAAAATGAGTAAAAAAAACATTATTAATTAAAATAATTAAATTTTATCATAATTTATTACGCAATAAATTTAATTAGTGAAAAATATTTGATATTTTCTATATGTAAATTCACATATTTTTTAATTGTGAATTCTAATTGTTAATTATTACTTTTAATTGCGAATTTTAATTGTTAATCAACATATTAAAAGTTAATTATGATGGCAAATATTGTAATTTTGTTGAATTACGGTACCTATTTTGGGAAAAAGAGCTGTACAAATACAATGTCAGTGTGGAATTAAGCATCTCCTTGCTCTCCCTCTCCTACAATATCTGAACACTCCAGCACTCTCTCTCTCTCTCTCTCTCTCTCTCTCTCTCTCTCCATCGCTGTCTGTAAAGACAGGCATCTGGAGTTCTACCTCGTTTGAGTGATAACTATCTCTTACCTACCATCTCCTCTCTTTCTCTCTGAACAAATCAATGGCGGATCTCAAGTCAACGTTTCTCAAGGTGTATTCCACTTTGAAATCGGAGCTCCTTGACGATCCTGCTTTCGAGTTCACCGATGTTTCCCGTCAATGGGTCGAGCGAGTAACTTGCTTTCCTTTCCTCATTTTCTTCTTTTTCAGCTCACGTTTCTTGATCTGTGATATATTCCAACTATCTTCTTGACATTATCATTGTTCTGATTGTTAATTTTGTTCTTCTTCTATTTTCCTGATCCATCATTACTTTACTGGCTTTCTTACATTTTGGTGGACGGTGAGAAAACCAATGTAAAAGGCGTGAGCTCAAGTTGTTTGATAATATGCTTTTGAATAAGATTTTGTATAATGTTGAAGTTTTTTATTGGTTAAGTTGATTAAAATTGCTAATCAATTGATTGTGTTATTGGGTTTTCATTTTAAATCTCTGGAGGTTTTGCCAAAGGATCTCTTCTCTTCTGTATGGATGCTAGGAATGGTTATCTTTCTATTTTAATGGGATTGATCTTGAACATCTAGTTTCATGCCTTCCAAGATGAGGATTTCCAGTGAACGTTGCCCTTTATTATGAGGTGTCCTCTTGCGGATTTTACAGTGTTCATAGTAATTAAATAATAGTGAAAGAGGGAAATTTCTGAACAAATATAGTAGTTGTTGCTATAGCGTGTGCTATTGACTATTACCTGCTAATTCATGCTTTTTCCAGTCAGGTTGCCTTTATGCAGTTTGAGGTTCTACAATGATTGGCAGTTGCTATAGCTTGTCCCTGAAAATGTTTTATGTAGTATTAATGCGGATAGCCTGATATTACCCTAATATATATGGTGGAGATGATTTTGTGGTTACACTCTTCCTTATTATTTGGTTGTTAATAATGGCTTTTCTGACAATGTTATTTGCTCTATTGTTATAGATGCTGGACTACAATGTTCCTGGAGGTGAGAACTGACATCTTCTTTTAAAAAATATATTTTTCTTAATGTTAGTATTCTTGTAAATCATTAAATGGCCATAATCTTCTAGCATCAAAGGGGGAGTAAAGTAAACCATCAAAACAAAGGAGTAAAACATGCAACTAGGGGAACTTCCTATTCAATCACATGTTAGTGAAAATATTTCTGGGCCATCTTTTATTTTTCAGGCAAGCTGAATAGGGGGCTCTCTGTGGTTGATAGTTATAAACTGTTGAAACAAGGAAATGAATTATCTGAAGATGAAATTTTCCTTTCATGTGCACTTGGTTGGTGCATTGAATGGGTAAGGTTGTCCAGGATTTGATTATTTGTCGGATGGTCATGCATATTGTTTCGATAATCTCATTGCTAAACTATGACAGAACCTTATGATTTCTAATTATAATATGTGCAGCTTCAAGCATATTTTCTTGTACTTGATGACATTATGGATGGCTCTCACACTCGTCGTGGTCAACCTTGCTGGTTTCGAGTGCCCAAGGTCTGTGCTAAAATTGGCATGTTCTGTTGCTCTTCTCTCGGTTAATGAATTAAATTGGCTTGTACTTTATGTCATAGGTTGGTCTGATTGCGGCAAATGATGGGATTCTTCTTCGCAATCACATTCCCAGGATTCTTAGAAAACACTTCCGAGGAAAGCCTTACTATGTAGATCTGCTTGATTTGTTTAATGAGGTACTTCCCTTTATAACTTTGATTTGCTCAGTTGTCAATATAAAAGCATGCTAAATTTTGATTGTCATGTTTACATAGGTGGAATTTCAAACAGCTTCAGGACAGATGATAGATCTAATTACAACAATTGAAGGAGAAAAAGATTTGTCCAAATACGCATTGTCACTGTGAGTGAAACATTTTATAACATATATTCGTCCACGAAGAAGCAAGTATGGAGCTACATGATTCATGATAATGTAAATTGTCAATCCATTTAAATATTTTAATTGACATGAATAACATAGGAGACCCGTTTTAGTCTAGGGTTGTTAGACAAGGTACTCCACACCGTATTGATTAGAATAAATGGGTTGTTATGGTCTCCAGATGTGCTGGTAATGACGGCTCAATAAACCAGAGATGGGATTATCTGTGTTCCTTATATGGCTATATCTATGTAAATGGAAAAATTGGCTGCTAGGGTGGCAACAAATATTAGCTTTAAGTACCTAAAAGTGTAATAAGTACAGGTTAATGATGTAAAACTATTGGGAGTATATAAGCCATTCAAATTCTAAAATATTCTAGAGAGTCAGATTTAAATTCTTTCTGGTGGATGATAAAATCTACCCATCCCGTGTGGTTATAATTCTGTATAAAACTATGTTTTGTCTATTAATCTAGAAATTGTTTTGAATTTTATGCAGACACCGACAAATTGTCCAGTACAAAACTGCCTATTACTCATTTTACCTCCCTGTGAGTATAAATCATAGATAATTTTTACCGTCTAAGATATGCCTTGTAAAAGTAGTAATCATCTTTACTTTCTTGCTGTTCTTGCCATTTGTATATGCTGTTGCTTTTTCTGATGTAAGAAATGTTCCTTGTCCCCTTATAAATTCTCTAGTTCCTTTAAAAGTAGCATTGACTTCTACTTTGAAATCTTTGCCAAACTTTATGGCTCAATAGATTTTTAGTACTATTTACGTTGTTCTTCTACATATGTTCTATAATTAGATGAAATATGATGTTAATCTTTTCTATGACCTTATCCAGTTTCTGACTATTGAAAGCTGATGTGTTGTATTGACTATTTATTGATCACCCTTGCAACATCTACTTAGGTTGCTTGTGCATTGTTGATGGCGGGCGAGAATCTGGATAATCATGTTGATGTAAAGAACGTTCTTATTGATATGGGGATCTACTTTCAAGTACAGGTAATCTATCTTGTTCAGTATTCTGGACATAAATTATAACTCAAACTAAGGGATTTCTTAGCAGGAGTATATCTAGCTCCGCTGTGTATCTCTAGCCAAGTCTTTGGACACCCGGACTGAATCTTTTTGGTTTGAGTTATAATTTCCCAGCGGGAATATATCTATCTTGATTTCCTAGCTGGAATATATATGGCTGATTGTTTATGCAATTTACTCTGTTTCATGCTCTTTGCAGGACGATTATTTGGATTGTTTTGCTGATCCTGAGGCACTTGGTAAGGTGAGCCCCAATTTAATTGGCAGAAAATTTGACCGTGGAATTAAATATTTAAAGCTTCTCTTTCTCAATTTCTAACTTGAGTTCCTTGTATAATCAGATAGGAACAGATATAGAAGATTTTAAGTGCTCTTGGTTGGTGGTTAAAGCATTGGAAAGATGCAATGAAGACCAAAAGAAAGTGTTATATGTAAGAGCAAAACATGCTTTTTCTTTTACTTATCCTCTTTACTTCACCACTCGAAAACCCTTGTTTTTTCCGTCTATTATTACTTTGTTAGAACTACTTGAATATTTTCCAGACTTGGGAAAAATTTGCACCTTGATGTACTTGTCCTATTCCAGGAGAACTATGGTAAACCTGATCCGGCTAATGTTGCTAAAGTAAAGGCGCTCTACAACGAACTTGATCTCCAGGTATGAACCCGGATCTTAATAATGCCGTTTTGATCATTTGATAGGACATGATACGGGACAGTTGAAGTGAAAATTACCAGAACATGATCACACAATTTTACTATATTTTAAACTTTCAACTTGACAGAGTGTGTTTGCTGAGTATGAGAGCCAGAGTTATCAGAAATTAATAGCTGCCATCGATGCACATCCGAAGAAAGAAATTCAAGCTGTGTTGAAATCTTTCTTGGCAAAAATATACAAGCGGCAAAAGTAAAGCTTACAATATCTAGGATTCTTGGATCTCATTCAAACATTTTAATGTTGTGTTATTTTTTGGCTTTGAATGAACAGAGTTCATACTTGATCTTCAGACATTAACTGCTGTTAGTTTCCTTTTTTGTTCTCTTTTCTGGAGTTTAGTTATATGTTATAACTTGTTCAAATCAGTGTTAAAGCTGTTGCACTTTTTATTTATTTATTCAAACATCTATTTTTCTTTCTGTTAAAGAAAATTTATTCAAAAACTAATTTAGTAAAATATTAATATGGTAATTTAGATTAATTGATTAAATCAACGGACTAATAATAATTTTTTAAAAAAAGTTAAATTAATAGATTAATTATGTCAATTTGTTATTATTAATAACTAATTTAATTAACTAATTAAAATTATTTTTTTGAATTATTTTTAAAGTAAATTTTTTATTAAAAATATAAAAAATTAAATATTTAGAAATAAATTAAATAATACTAAACTTTGTAATTATTTTGAATCAGGTGGATTTTATTGAATAAAATTATATTATAAGATTTTGATAAATTATTAATATGAATTTTTTTTCTATTGTATAAAATAATTTTTTAATACTAAAATAAATGAATTATTTATTGCACGTAATTGATATCACACGAAAAGAAACAAAAAAATAAAAAATAAAAATAAAAATTCAGAGAGAAAGTGGATTTGATTTCAGAGTTTATAAAAGTCAAAAAGTCAATCCTTATACGCGCAGTTCAGTTACAATTAAAAAAGTCGCACCTCCTTTTCCCTTACGATTTTCTTAATTTTATATAGTATTTTCAGTTTCCATTTTAGTTCCTTGCGTTTCAATGCAAATATACACACATCCATGTATATATATATATATATACACACACACACACAGTTAAATCGTATCTGTTTCTGAATATTTTCCATTACAGGGTTTTTGGGTCCAAGGAATCATCAAATCCGCCACTCATTTTTTGTTTGAAACCCTCTATCGTGCCTGATCTCCCAATTTTCCATTCTTGATTGCCATATATATGTGTATATATATTATATATGTGTATATTATTTTCATTCCATAACGTGCGCGTCTTTTCGATTACTGTTGAATCTAAATAAATTCATTGCGTCATCATCATCACTGTTTCTTCTAGATTTATTTGCAAAATTAAGTTATCCTTCTTCAATAATAATTTCTTCTTGCTATTTTAGTTGAAAGAATATTTTTCTCCGTATTCGAATTTTCAGTTCCGATTCTCTTCTGGTAAGCTCTGCGTTGAAGTATTATTCCTCAATGCCATTGATCTCTTTTGACTTCTCAATCAGATTAGTATATTCATTATTCCCAAACAAACACCGTTGTCTACTTTTTTATTCCTTTTAGCTAAGCCTTCGTTTCTTTAGAGATAATGTCGTTCTGTTAATTGTGGGAACAGAGTGATCGCCATTCTTTAAGCTATGGTGACCATGGCCTCTGGTTCTTGCGAATCTTTATCTCGTTTACTCTTCTAGTTCTTCTGGTGTCCTTATTGATTAAAGGATTGTCAGTAATTGGTGAGAAAATTAGTGGGGTCTAAAGACATGAAGCTTCAGGTTCGAGTAATAGAGGCGCGGAATCTACCGGCGATGGATCTAAACGGGTTTAGTGATCCGTACGTGAGGTTACAGTTGGGAAAAAACAGGTCGAGGACCAAAGTGGTGAAGAAGTGCTTAAACCCAACTTGGGGAGAGGAATTCTCTTTCCGGGTCGAGGATTTGAATGAAGAACTTGTGATTTCTGTTTTGGATGAGGATAAGTACTTCAATGATGACTTTGTTGGGCAGATTAAGATTCCAGTTTCGCAGGTTTTTGATGCGGAAAACAAGTCTCTTGGCACTGTTTGGTACCCTTTACAGCCAAAGAATAAGAAGTCCAAGAAGGACTGTGGTATGTGTCTTTCTGTTCCTTAGTTAGTTCTGTTCTCTGGTTGTATTTCTCTTAATTGGGTGCTTGAGTTTTTAGCTCAATTATGTCCCCTGTTCAAGTTATTTTCTCAAGTTAGATGGTAGGTCGCCTTTGAAAATACGTCTTCTTGTTCTGGATTTTAGTGGTCTTATTGCTTGGGTATGGATTGTCTTATATATTTGGATTTGGGAGTTCTTTCTGCAATCTCCTGCCGTCTCTACATTATGAGTGTTTTATGGGCATGGTTAGAGTAGTTTGTGTAATAAATTATTGAAACATGAATTCTTTTTCTTTTTAATCTTTACTGCAGGGGAGATTCTCTTAAATATATCTTTTTCTCAAAACAATTCATTCGTGGACTTCAGTTGTAATGGTGATCATGCACAAAGCATGGGGAAGCTGGCAGATGTAACTTTAGAATCTTCTGCCAGGTTTTCAAATGTCACATCAACTTGTCTCTCTCCGGTGAGACAAGAAGATTCGTATTCAAGGGAAGAGAGGTCTTGTTCACAAAAAACCTTTGCAGGTCGAATTGTTCAGATGTTTAACAAAAATTTAGATACACTGGCAACCACTTCTGCTAAAGGCATAGAGACATCAGAGCTACTGGAAGATACTAAACCTGAGGTTTCTGATGACAGAAGTGAAGATCAGTCCTCTTCTTGCTCTTTTGAAGAATTGGTTAAAACCATGGAGTCTAAAGATTCGGGTTCTGAAATTCCAAGCAATTTACCTGGAGGGGTCCTACTGGACCAATTGTATATGATTACGCCTTCTGAACTAAATGTTTTGCTTTTTTCACCCGATTCAAGTTTTTATGCATCATTGGCTGATGTGCAAGGAACTTCAGAACTGCAGATGGGACCTTGGAAATTTGAAAATGGAGGTGAGAATTTGAAAAGAGTGCTTACTTACATTAAGGCTGCAACCAGGTTAATTAAGGCTGTCAAAGGAACTGAGGAACAGGTGTATCTAAAAGCTGATGGGAAGGCATATGCTGTTTTAGCCAGTGTCAGTACACCTGATGTCATGTATGGTAGCACCTTTAAAACTGAGTTGCTCTACTGCATCACCCCTGGGCCTGAACTGCCATCTGGAGAACAGTGTTCACATTTGGTGATATCATGGCGAATGAACTTTCTGCAGAGCACCATGATGAAAGGTATGATAGAGAATGGTGCAAGACAGGGCCTTAAGGACAGCTATGAGCAGTATGCCAATTTGCTATCCCAGAATGTAAAGAAAGTTGATTCAAAGGATATTGGGTTAAATAAGGATCAAGTTTTAGCTACATTACAGGCACAGCCACAATCAGACTGGAAACTTATAGCACAGTACTTCGCTAACTTCACTGTGGTTTCCACAGTTTTTATGGGAATTTACGTGCTTGTCCACATATTGCTTGCCTTGCCTAGCACAATTCAAGGGCTTGAGTTTCTTGGGCTTGATTTACCTGATTCGATTGGCGAATTCATTGTGTGTGGAGTCCTAGTTCTTCAAGCTGAAAGGGTACTAATGATGATATCACGTTTCCTGCAGGCTAGAAGGCAAAAGGGTAAGATTTACATATGATAATTGCAGTTTTCCAAACACCCTACAACAGTACTGTCTGCCGTTAGAGCCTTATATTCCCTTATAAATTACTTGTACACTTTTTTATTT